TCACTTACGTTCTCAAATGCTTCAGCAAAGAGAGAGCACCAACTTGTCCAAGAGATGTTTGGTTTGCAGCCTCATGCACTCAATGCATGTTCCTCCTCTCTGCATGTTCTACTGCTTGACTAGTGTATGGAGGAGTCATGATCTGGCCTATGTATTATCTTACTTCTGAAAAACAGCATGGGAATATCAGCTGCTTACATAAATCTAAACGTCCGGTTGCCTTCTTGGAAAAAGTGGATGTTAAATTACTGCTTGGACAGGATCATATTCTCTCTGGCAATTCTGTAAATATCCAAAAATATTAGTATTCCCTGTGAATATATGTTCAGCCTACTCAGAAGTTAGCAATAATCACTGCATGCATCTCTTGACACTACTGATTTTATATTTATGTACAAACAGGAGCACAGAGCTCTTGGCCGAGCAGTACTGAAAGAAACTGTCAGTGTTGTAAGGCTTTTGACAGTAGCTATTCCTGTTACACGGACCAAAGCCTACCTTACTTTGAACAGCAGAACATGCAAATTCTTCACTTCACTCACCATGACCAGTTAACCTTCACATTCACTTTCAGTATATTCAGATAATTCTTTTCATTACAAATAATGCTGTTACTGTTATTGGCTGAAAAGTACGAAATTTTTAAGCAGAAATTGTAGTATTAGATTGTAGTTCAAAAGTACCATCAATTCTTGATGCTGTATTTTTTTGCTAGTAGACTACAGGTAAGAAAAGGTGAAAAATTATTGAATTCAGAGATTATGAGCTACATTTCAAAAAGTCTTCTAAAAAAATATCACTTGTGCTACATCTCTATATTGCCTCGGTGACTGGATAGGATGGTTTTGGAAATCAGATAATTAGTTTTGGTTATGTTCTTCTAAACCGAATTTACTTTGTTGGATGTTCAGCCTAATTCTGGTCTTGTCCTGCTACTCATTGATTGCAATGGGAAATGATTTTGTCAGATTTCCGTATATGCTTGTAGACCTGAGATTGACAGACTTTCTCACCTTTCAATTTTTTATTTACTTTGGTGTCAAACTGGTATTTCTAGTGTTCTAATATTTGGGAAAATAGCATCTTCTTTATTTCTGCAATTATTTCTCCTCTGTCACAGCTATTCTACTTCTTTTGGGTGATTCAGAATGGTCTGTGATTTCCAGCCCCTAGCTGGGCAGCAATGTTTGTAGTGGTATGCATTCTGGCAGGCTTTTGAGCACAGGCACTGAGTTACTGAGTGCGATGGCTTTCCAAGAACTGCTTCTTGCAGAACAGCTAGGATGCTGCACAAGAGTCTAAACCTATCTCTCTGAAGTACTGGTTCTTATTCTCCAAGTTGCAAAAGAGAAAAAAATGACATCACCTTAAATTTAACTTAACCTCAATCCCAAACTGATACAACTACCATACAAACAGGTAAAATATAAAATATAAAGTACTGATCACAACAGGCCACAATGATACTGATATGTATATGAACAGACTCCATTCTGAGCTATCCTGGAATCAAGAAAAAAGAAAAAAAACAAACAGGAAAACTTGCTCTAGATAGAGATGGATAGTTAGAGGCTTAGTTAAAACCTTGTAATTAAGGGAGGATCATGAGCAGGAGTAGGGTCTGAGAGACAATGAATTTCACATCCAGAAGGCGCCATCATACTCAGAAGCCCAGGGATAATATACAGCTCGATCACAGTGAATGAATATGATAAAATATCATTTTATTCTGTTGTGGGTTTTTTTGGGGGGGTGGTAGGGAACCAGTGTACTTGTTTAACATTATACTGATTATACTGAGGTGGGAGGGTGGCAGAAAAATCAGGAAACACAACAAAGAGAAAAATGAAGGAATTGTTGTTTGTTCACTGTAAGAAGCTGTAAACAAGTGAATGTTCTTACCGAGTACTCTTACTGGGCTGAAAAAGTTTACTCTCCCCATGGCTTGCCCCAGGGGGCAAAGGAATTACTCCTCATTATTATGGGGATAAAGAACTTGACAACTGACAAGAGGAAAACACAGAAGGAGAAAGAAAAAATAGACAGTTTCCATCTCTTAACTCAATGAGAATAATGAAATTTACCTACAACTTAATTTTTTTCCTGAATGTTTTGTAAGAAATGGAAATATAAGTAATTTTTGTGCTATTCTGTCATGGTCTACTGTGTCCTTGTTTGTAAATACTAGTAAGGACTCGAGTTTCATGCCGATTTTCTGTTTGGAAGAAGAGGGTTTCCTCCCCATTTCAGTCATGCTAACTAGCAATTTGACCTTGTGGCCCCAAAGAGGTAAATATAAGGCTGCAGATGTAAAACACAAGATATCCTGCTATCCTGATATAGTTGATAAGTATGACCCTACGAAGTATCAATCCAAGATTGACAAGACTTAGAGGTAGCCCAGATGGATGACTGTGAGAGACTGCCCCTAACTGTAAGAATTTCACCTGAGTTTCAGTTAATGCAGCTGTGTGGTTCACAGCTTGGCTTAGCTCAGCTGCAAAGTGTTTTTTAGTAGTGATGCAGGGAAATCTTGTTTTTCTAGAGCTGAATGTACTATGCAGTTCTTCTGGGCTTACCTGGCTTGAGAATAAAGGATATTAATGGTAGGTCTGAAAGCACTGTGCAAAATCAAAGAGAATTTGTGGCCAGGATCCCAACTTGAATTCCCAAAACATACTGAATTGCTACCCTCCTTCACCGTCCCTGCAGTTTTCGTGCATTTATTTTAGGGTCTTCCTTATATAGATTATATGGTCAGAGTTTAAAAAGTTAATTAATGAAACAATTAAAAAACTTTTTTTTTGCTGGCTAATGAAAAGACAGAACATTTGAATTAGGGGCCTTTGTGGTAAAGGGTTAGAATATTGGAAAACTTGGATATTTTATCAGTAATACAAACAGTACTGTTGCTTTCTTAATTGGATGGATTTGAATAAATTTATATTAATATCTAATTAGGATTGATACGGCTGATATCTAGTATGTATTTGAGTCCCATTTGAACTTCTACAATGGTTAAAGAAAGACAGTAGCTAAGAGCATTTCTTCCTGGTCTGCAAAGCTTAGTCATTATTTCTGTTGCTGTCATTTTTGGATTTACTGGTTCTGCTTCTGTATTATCAAAGTAAAAGTTGACAGCTGCTAGGTGAACCCCTCAATCACCAAAGTTCGTTGAGCAGAAGAGAAATCTTGTGGGAATTCTGGTTCTTAAGTGGACGCTGTGACAGTTACTGTCAATGAATATATAATAAAAATGGGAATTAATAAGGTCAGATGCTATTAAATTCTGTTAAAACAGGCAGCCTTAAAATAATTATGAAATGATATATGTGATTTCAGTGGATTGCCAACTCCAGCTGCAGTGTTTCTGCTGAATTTGCCTGCAGTGTTGGCTCAATTTCTATAGCTCTTTGAGTTGAGAGACAAAAATCAGTTTTAACCTTATCTTTAAAATAGCCTTGAGTAACATGCATTTTAGACTCCTGGAAAAGTTTACCCATATATTTTGCATTAATATCTTCAGAAACTTTCTCAGTGGGCTAATTTTGAAATTCTAGCTTTGCTTTTAAGTCAAGGCAGTGGCACAAACAGTGTTGTGAAGAGTTCAAAGTTTCCAATTTGCAGCCCAAGTTGTATATAGGTAAAGTAGTCTCAAATATCCTTTTCCTGGAAGAAAGAAAACAGTAAAATAGCCATGGAATTAGGAGCAGATGGCTGTTTCTTTCCAGCAGTTATCATTTTGATGTCTTATTTAAAATAAGAATAATTCCACCCAAGATATACAAAAAGCATTTTAGTAGGAATGTGGTAATTTGTTACATTTTTGGTATTCGGTGTGATGGCAAAAAAGCCAGTATCAGTGTGTGCTTTGTTATCAGTGCAGAACAATAGGGCTCAGAAACTCGCTGTGGCACAGAGCCTGGTTGTACAAGCTTAATATCTAGAAGCTAATCTCTTTGCATCAATTAATAAAATGGATCCTAGCTGACTTTCGTGTCATTCACCTCACTTGGTGCTCGAGGAAGACATGTAAAAGCCATTTGGAATATAAATTTTTAAAAATAATGATAGTGATCAAGGACCCATCTAGAGTAATGAGGTGAACTTATATTTCTTGCTCAGTGAAGTACAAGAATACAGCTGTTCAGGCATGTACAGGTAAAAATTAGGCAGCAAGATGCTCTGTTTCACTCATTCTGAACAATTCTATTTTGGTACTATCCTCCTCTACAAATACTCCTCTACCGTTAATGTGTTGTAAATTGGATTAGAAATTAAAATTAATTTTTCCTCTCTCTTTCTTCTTTACTGTGGTTCACCAAGTTTTTGAACTGTACCCAGTGCTTTGCTCTGCCTGTATCTCAGTATCCCTCGTCAAGGAAGAATTTATGAACTCCTGCCTTAGAGGCTGAGATTCA